CCCAAGTGCTTTATATCCCATACAGCACAAACAACCATACTTTAAATGATTTATAGATATGAACTCCATCGATGGTTTATAATTGCAGCCATTTTATACAATATGCGCATGCGCAGTACAATGACATATAGTTTCTATGGATACGCATCTGACATCATGTGTTACGTAGCACGGTAGCAGGAAGAATGGAGAAGGATGCTGAAGCTGTGAAACTGAGAGCTAGTCAAAGCACTGCAAATACATGAACACACAACAGTAGAATAGGATCGTAAAGCTTGCAGTGTAATTTGCTGGTGCTAGTATATATTCCTAAGAAGATAGGTGGAGAACTCCAGTCCAGTGATAAAACTAGTCTCTCGGCGCCAGGCGTGGTCTGGCGCCGAGAGACTATGATAAACTGACAGAATAGAGGAATGCTCCTTTATTCTCTACTCGATCTTGCTGCACATTCAACTTTCAATGCAAAATAACTCAAAAAAAAGCCCTTGTTCGGGAGTGGCATCCAATAACTACTTAACTGTGCTATAAGTGGCTAACTGTGACATTATGACATTTATAGAATGGGCGGTCCCTTTGATCTTTTAACTTGGAATACTATAAAGACTGATATTGTACATATACCAACTTAACTCTTTGGTAAACAGGGTTAAAAATTTGATCAATTATTCCCGTGGGCAGGTCATTTAGATAAAAATTAGCCAAAAATAAGGTTTTTACTTTTCTTATTGTAAAGGTACCAAACAATGTTAATATGGGAATGTGTTGCCATGGTGGTACTCTTGAACAATAAAGTGCACCTTTGCAGGTTCATATAACCATTATCATGCAAATTGATAAAATCTATATACTCATAACAAGGATAGGTAATAATTTCAAATCATATCTCAGTTTTAATAAATATTACACACAAAAATACAATGAAAAATGACAGACATAATTGTAATGAGATACTGTGCAAAGATATGTAGCTGTAAGTCATAAGCGCTTGTTGCTATAACACTTTCGCTTCATGTGTTATAGCAATGCTTTGTTGATTTTCAATTATTCCAGTGAGGAAGAAATATTTTCTTTCTCTAATTTGCAATCCTTGAAGAACTTTTCTATGGTACCAAGCAATTTCTACAGTCAAAATAAGGTTGTAGATCACTATAGATCCTCTTACTCTGTCTGTTGTGCAGTATTACGACGTTACAATGTCCATGACCTAAATGCTCGACGGCAACATAGAAAACGCAAGAACCGAAGCAATTTGAACTTACCAATCTCTTTATTGAGGAACATCTTATCTGTATACCAGTTTTTTTGAAGAAGTAAAGCACAGAAGATGGGAAAAAGACGAAGAAACTAATCTAACTAGGCATTGTTAGCCATATTATCACCATGCCTACACAAACTTTTACCACACCCATCAATGTAAGCAATGGGGAAAATGTGTTTCTTGACAGTATGGACTGCTGTTTTTTTTACTTTTCTCCATCCTTGGCTCTCAGGAGTACTCTGTCAGTTTGTATAAGCATTGTCATGTGTTTCTCTGCATTTCTATTCTCAAATCATGCTTGCATTACATGAAGTGTAGAATGGGAACATGCCACACCTCTTAGAGCATGCAGACACATGTTCATACAAGTAAATAGAAAATCTAATTCCATCTCTGTCTGTAACTTTTTATTCTCTCATTTTAGTGTTATGTGCTGAAAGATTTGCTCCATATTGAATGATAAGGAAGGAAATGACAGAGAGAAAAGAAGGCTGAAGGCTATATACCTATACATAGTGATGTATATAATACATGCTATACTACACATTACTGACAGTCATGCAAAACAA